GTCAACTCAGGTGTCCCTGATTTTGTGTGTGTGTGTGTGTGTGTGTGTGTGTGTGTGTACATACATATATACATACAAATATTAGGGCTGCACAAACAGGAAAAACCAGCAAATGCTCAGCTTTGTCTGTGCAAATCTGCTAATCATGAGGATTGTGTTCCCTTAATTGATTGAAAACATGGCATGCCTAGCTGTAAGCGCTTGAGTGATGAACATATATTTTATCAAATTGAAAGGTTGCATTTTTTTGGCATAATGAACACTGTTCTTGTGCTCTGATTTTCCTATGTAGGTGGTAGTCCTCGACTTACGATCACAACTGAGCCCAAAATTTCTATTGTTATGTGAGACATTTGTTAAGTGAGTTTTGCCCCATTTTACAACCTTTCTTGCCACAGTTGTTAAGTGAATCACTGCAATTGATAAGTAACTGGTTGTTAAATGAATCTGGCTTCCCCATTGACTTTGCTTGTCAGAGGGTCGCAAAAGGTGATCACATGACCTTAAGACACAGCAGTGGTCATAAGTATGAACTAGTTGCCAAGCATCTGATTTTTGATCATATGATCATGGGGGATGCTGCAAAGGTTGTAACTGTGAAAAATGATCATAAGTCACTTTTTTCAGTGTTGTTGTAATGGTCATTGAATGAACTGTTGTAAGTTGAGGACTATTTGTACGATCTGCCTCCATGTTATTTAAAAACAATTTCAGCTATTAAAATGCATTTTGCGCTAACTGGGAGCAACATGATGTTCCTAGACTAAATGAAGACTTCTAGCTTTCAGCTCCTTGTTGCTGTAGTGTCACTGCATCCATGTGTCACTTGGGCCTGCTTCAGGCATAGGTGCTTCTATTGTTGTTAAGGTTGTTAAAAGAACCAGTTTGGTCTAGTGGTTAAGGCACCAGGCTAGACAGTGGGAGATTGTGAGTTCTAATCCCACTACTGGCATGAAAGCTGGCTGGGTGACTTTGGGCCATTCACTCCCAGCCCAACCCACCTCACAGGGTTATTGTGAGGAAAATAGGAGAAGGGGGGATTATTATGTACATTCGCCATCTTGACTTATTTATCAAAATATCAAAAGGCGGGATAAAGATAGAATAAATAATAACATAAATTAGAATGTCACTACATTATAGTCATTGTTCTTAAATTTATTTGAAAATAAATCTCAGTGGATTATGGTTTAACTAAGGCTAGGCTTTTTTTTTCACGACTTTGTTTTATTCATCACCAACGTCATGTCAGTGTCCCTGTGTAATTATCTGTCTAATTTCATACATCCTTCATGATATTATGCTTAGCTTTTTTTGTATTTAATGTTTACTCCTTTGGAAGAAAGTTTCTTTAAAATCACAGCACTCATTTACATAAACATTGTTAAGACGGCTTGCTAACATTTAAAACAAATTTAGGGAAGAGTTTTAGGTTTTCCCTGCAAGTAAATGTATTAAGATTGCTACTTAAAATCGTATAATATATAAACATATATAAAATATATGACCCTGACCTGATGTAATCTTCTTATCACAAGACCCATCACAAGACTCACTGATGACTCATACCTGACCTCTCACAAGACCCATTATAAGAACCTCACTTGACACACCCACACCTGAAGCCCTTATAAATAGAAGAATACTGGCACCCCCTAAACTCTGCTGAAGATTACCACCTAGCGTGGTAATGAAATGTTTGGAAACCAACCCACAAGCTTGGAAAATGTACCTTCACCACCCTCATTCTATACCTGAGCTACAGATATTCGCCACTATTGCAAATATAAAATTGCAGTTCAAGTCATGAGCGGCAACTTCTATCTCCTCTTCTATCCATCAACCAGAGGTTGCACATATGTGCATGTTGATGTGTTCGGGGGTGCCCCCTTTCACAATTAGTGCCACATGCTGTCTCTCTTGGCTGTCCATGCTTTTCCCAAACAAGGACAGACAAGAGACAGGCAGAGTTGGGGTGGGTGGGAATGCCTTCTCAGAGTTCTCTATTAGGCAGTTAAAAGTAAAGTTAAAGATTCCCCTCGCACATATGAGCTAGTTATTCCCAACTCTAGGGGGTGGTGCTCATCTCCGTTTCAAAGCCGAAGAGCCAGTGCTGTCCGAAGACTTCTCTATGATCCTGTGGCCGGCATGACTAAACACTGAAGGCACACAGAATGCTGTTACCTTCCCACCAAAGGTGGTTGCTATTTTTCTACTTGTATTTTTACATGCTTTCAAACTGTTAGGTTGGCGGAAAGTAGAACAAGTAACGGGAGCTCACTCCATTACATGGCACTAGAGATTCGAACCGCCGAACTGCCGACCATTCTGATCGACAAGCTCAGCCTCTTAGCTACTGAGCCACCATGTCCCTTTTTATTAGGCACTTAGCTGATCATAAATAGCGTAAACTATTTTCCTATTATAATGGCCAGCATTGTAAATATATTATTAGTTTGAAGGTATTCTTATTTGTAGACAATATATAAACATCAGTACCCTTTTCATCAATTATTTTCATATAGTGGTTGCAATCAGATCTGTGCATGAAAATGTATGTATTGCCTTATATTAAAAAGATAACATCAGCTTCAAGTCAGCCTTCACTCTGATGACTTCACTGGTACATCTAGTAGCTTTCCTGACAACAGCATGGAAGTATTTGTCATGGCTTTCTTCTGGGAAAGTCTCTCTATTTCCCAGTCATGTTATTCAACAAATAATATATCAGCAATATAGAAAAGATGGAAGAGATGCATCGAAATGCTCTTCTTCTTCACCATGCCACAAGCCCTCTCCTGCAGCTTTTCTTTTCCCCATCAAGTTCCCTTCTGTGGATTGTGCTTGCATGGATACAAGAGTCTCAAAAAGATGTAGATTAATTGCTTGGTAAAGAGGCAATTTGGTGTAGTGGTTAAAGCATAAGGGATAAAGCCACTTTGGGAGACCTTGGGCCAGTCACTCTCAGCCCCAGGAAGGAAGAAATGGCAAACCACTTGCCAAGAAATCTGCAGGGTCTAGTCCAGGCAGTCAACAGCAATAAAAAGCTGACTCAAAGGCATACCCAGAAGTTGCTTAGGGAAGACTTTGCCCAGGAGAAGGAGACCTCTGGTTGAGCAGATTTCCCATGACTCCCCTCATACTCATGAATCATCCCATCCATTTTGCCCAGTGACGTGCAGTCAGGGGAGGCAGAACCTCACCACTGTCATCATGAAAAGAAAAAAAATGTAAAAAGAAAAAGGCTGAGGTAGTTGCTGCCAGAGTCACAGTGGATGACTCTGCTTAGTGCTTAACTGTTTAA